CATAAAACAACCAGCTTTTTGAGAAAAGATTAAGAAATTTGTTAAAGAGCCGCCAAAAACTATTCCTCCGTCCCCAGATTTACCCCAAGATATTAGAGTTTGATTAGAGAGAGTGCGTGGCTACATTGATTTCAGTTTTGGCTCTTATCCTGAACCCCTGAATAAACTGGCTTATTATGGGGAAGTAGAAGCCATTATTGCTGATTTAGAAGTATTACTTACCGAAATTTGAAGAAAATATTTACAAAATCCAAATAATTTCACCTTACGGGGTAATAATTTAATGACAACAATTACTACCCAAAAAGAATATGGGGAAAATACTAATCAGATCACAACTATCGCCCATGATAAATTATTTCAAAGAACTAATGAGATCGACAATGTAGAAACGCCTTTGAAATCTTCCCAAGCCGATGCTCTGAAAGTTTGAGACCGCTATAAATCCCAAATCTTTCAAAATCAAACGCGGGACACTATTAATGAACACACCAAATATGACAATACTAGAAATACTGGTCAGGGTGGCAAACGAGGCCAAGCCCAAGATACCAAGAGTATTATGCGTCAACTAGATCCGCGTATTGATGCTAAATTATTAGCAATTGTCGAACAGTTAGTAGATAAGTTTGTAATTTATAGTAATATTTATAATCGACTAAAACACCACTTTTTTGATTTAGGAGAGCCTTTACCTCGTTATATAGAAGTAGAGGCAGAATAAATATTTATTTTAAATCTAGATAAAAAGAAATAAAGACAATAAAACAAAAATATATATACTACTCTCTTAAAAATGATACAAATAGTTTTTGGCTGATGCTGACAATGCAAAAAAGATAACATTTTGGTGCTAAGTACAACCTACTTCTGCTATTGCTTGCCTTGTATTACCGAGGAATTTAAAAAAGCCCAAAAAGATGGCGAATAAAGAGCAGATAATTATTAAATTATTGATTTGTCGGAACGGGTAGCAATTTTTTATTAGTTTCCGGTTGTTGCCTGCTCTGACAACTGAATACCTTAATGAAAAAAGAAACTACCCAAGAAATAATTGAACGCATAAATAAGGAAAGACAGGAAAAAAGATTGAAAACCAAACCCAAGCCGACCTTACTGGGAGTTGATTCTCCTCCCCCTAAACAAAAAAAACAATTAGAAAAAATAATTACTGAAAACAAACCTTCTACTCTTCTAACAGAAATAGAAAAAAACTTAAAAAACATTCACTGCGAAAAGTGTAATGAACCTGTTCCCGAACATCTGTTAAGAGGAATGTTTTATAAGATAATAGTGGATAGCAAAGCAGTTTTTAAATTGCTTATTACCGGCAAAAGTGTGGGTAAAACTACTAATTTAATTCTTTTCCAGGCTTGATATTTAATGAACCATAGATTTGGTAAATTTGTCTGAGTATTTAGGACAGAAAAAGATAAATTAGAAAAGGGTAAAAACATGTGAAATGAAGTATTACAAGAAAAATTACCTTTAAAGAATTTACCGAAATTTGATGAAAAGGACTGAAAGGATAACCGCGGTGAGGAGGCGACTGGTAATGGCATTATGTTTCAAAAGAGATTAAGAGTACGGTTTTGTTCTTTACAAGAATGACAAAAAACTGATAGTTCTTTTGGTCGGAATGCGATCCATTTAGTATTTGATGAGGCCATGCCTTCTAATGGTAAAGAATTAGTGGACCCGAATGAGACTATTCGCTGACACCAGATTTATAACAATGTCCGCAATACCGAAGGAGCACCAACTGAATGCTATTTTTTATGCAATCCTCATATGAAAGGGGCTTGATTTTTAAGATATTTTTGCCATGCTGAATGAATAGCAGAAGCCTTTAATCCTGAAAATGAAGAAAAAGAACATTTTTTTGAGGGATTTAAAGAAGTAAAAGATGAGAAAAAGGGAGTGGTTAAGCCGGTTCCTATTCTTTTATACCAATGCCCGGAAAGAGAGGATGAAAATAGTTTCATTTTAGATCTAATTGAAGACAATCCTTATCGTCATAAAAGAGGATTATTTGAAAAGAAAGAGGAAATGTTTATTAGCGAACGACCTCAAATGTTTTACAATGGTAAAGAAATCTATCCTTTTGAACCAAAAATGGTTATTAAAGAATGTATCTATGCTAAACTAAAAAGAAACGATCAGAAATTTTATTTCTTCCGCAAGGCCAAAGAAGAGGAAGCAAATATTCCAGAAGATATAGTTCATTTTTGTTCTACTAGCAAAGAATATCATGAAAGCACTTATACTAATAAGATGTTAGTAGAAGGAGAAGAATTAAAAAAATGAGTAAGAGGGTTTTTTTATGCTATGGAGGGAGGAATGTTATCTTTTTGTGATAGCAAGAGCAAGTTTCCGGATGCTTACGAGACTAAATCAACCATTTTGCCTTTCATTTATCAGTTTGATAAGGATAGATTAAAAAGATATGTGGTTAGTGATTAAGCGGACTAATTTTACTGTTCAATTGGCTCACCGAAGAAAAAAAGAAATCCAAAGCGAGCCAGTTCAAAAGTAAAACTAATGGTAGTTGAGGATAGAATTGAACTATCGGCCTCTCCCTTATCAGGGGAGTGTTCTAACCGCTGAACTACTCAACTATTTTCTTTATGGTGTCTCGTGAAAGATTTGAACTTCCGACTTCCTCCTTAAAAGGGAGACACTCTAACCAGGCTGAGTTAACGAGACATTTCATAATTAGTCTTGGTGGAGATGAGGGGATTGAACCCCTGTCCTTATAAAGTTGATAATTACTTCTACAACTTAGTCAATTAGGATTTCATGACTAGTAAATATCAATTGACCAGATATCGTTATTGGGGGAGCAGTTTCCTAATGACCCCTACTAATCACTAGTTTATTTTTCTCTTCATTACCTATAAACAGCCAAACAAGAAATAAACAAACACTATCTGGCCATTTTCCAATTTTATTACGAATTACCTAAATGGAGTGAGTAATAAGACTAGCAAAAGCCTCCAATAGGCCGCCAAACTTCAAAAGTTTGAATGATTAGGCGATTGCGTAGTTGTATCCTGGGTTGCTAGATAGCAATTCCACAGGAACTTCAAATGTATCTTCTTGATTTTTTTGTTGCTTTCAAGAAAGCATATTGCCATAATTATCTTCCGAATAAGTCTAAACTTACATCCCCATAATTAATATTTTAAGTTTTTAATTACTTTATATTTTTTTTTAAAAATCCCAATTGCTTATCATACTTCCTTTCTTTTTGCCTATTTATCAGGGGTAGACAATAATTTTCATAATTTTCTCGATATCTAGCGGACTTCTTTACATCCCAATCTATTCTAAAACCTTGGCTAATATAATCAGTTCAAAATCTAATTTTGTATTCTTCGGTATCATATAAATATTGAGCGGATAGTTTAATTTCTCCCGCTTTTATTCGGTCGACCAATTCGTCTAATAATTCTTCACTACTGATATTTTTGCCGTTATTCATTATTGTTATCGTTTATAATATCTTCAACAATCTCCTCAATTATCCTATCCAAAGCCTTATTAATAAAATAAGATAAGGTATTCCGAGCCTCATATTTTACACACATTTTACACAATCAAGTAGTCAGCGAACAAGTATATAATTTACCTCTAAATTGAACAGGAATTAAAATATAGCCCTCTGCTTTATTCTCGCCAAGCAAACAGTCTTTACTCTGGTTCATGATTTCCCGGACAATATCATCCCGGACGAAATCAGGAATATCACTACATTTGATATAATTCATGGATCTTTTTTATTTTTATTGGTTTTCCGCATAGATGGTCGTTATATAATTGTTTAGCCGAAATTTTTTCACCAATTTCAAGATAGTAAGCTTCTCACCCGAGACATACACCACAACTATACACCACATACTCCTTATTATTATTTTCAAAGCAAAGAGTTCTTTTGCTCTCCATGAAAGTTGAATCTTCCACTATTCTTTTAAAATTTCTTTTGCTCATTAGGATACAGTTATTATTTTTCTTTTATCCACACAATCACACTCTCAAAAAGTTAAACCAAATTGCTTGGTGCCGCCTCTTTTAAGAATGTCGTTCAATCTTTCTTCTATAACTCTTAAATGATAAGCCTCGAAACTTTTTTCGTCTATCTCTACTTCCCGCATTGGCTTAAAACATTTTTCGCAGAGTAGCAAACTTATTTCCATATTGATTTATTTTTTTCTTTATATCTATATATCATTATTTTTGGATAGGAACCGGCAACATTCTATCACCACATTCACATTCTTTTATTAGCAAATGACAATTATTACAATGTCAATCATTAGGATTGCCATTAGAACTTTCTAAACTTTTTAATCATTCTTTTTTTATTTTTTCTCTTTCTTCTTTGGGTTGTTTGGATACAACAACTTCTTGTTTATTTTTTAGATAGCAACCATTACATAACATAGTAGCCGCATAAAAACTATCTCTATCGTTTATTAAAATGTAGCAATCGGAACAGCGTTTTTCTTCCATTTTTTTTAACCTCTTTATTCTATAAGAATTTTTTTAACTTCTTTAATTTTTGTTATTAACTTATAATATTCTTTAAGAAACGGGTATTCATGATATTCTTGCTCCTGACAATCAATAGAGTTTTCGGCACCCTTTTTTTCTAGTTCGGATATACATTCGGTCAGACAACTATTGCAGAATTTTCCTGGCTGGTCTTTAACTGACCTGATAAAAAATGCTGAAATTATTTTAGTTTCTTTCCTACACTTACAACACTTACCTTTTTCTTTTTTTAAATATCGAAAATCACAAAACTCACTCTTTTTCTGATGAGAAAAGTCAATTCACTGAGTAGTAGCCTCTATCTCCCGATCCCTTTTAGGTAAATCTTTATCAGGAGGCAAATAGAGAAATTTTATTCCGTCTACTACTTTTCAATAGCAATAAGTTTCTATTTCTTTGCCAGTATTAACTCCTCGTCAGGTTTCTTTAATCAGAAAAGGATATTCTTTTGATACTTGGACACTAACAAACTCCGCCTGCATCTTAATTACATAATCCGGGTCAGTCGCTAGTTTTTGTGATACTTCTTTCTGCCTATCATTAACTTTAATCTGGCAAGCATCGCAAATATTAAGGCAAGTTTTACACTCTCGACAACTACTGAATACTTTCTTTTCTGTAAACTCTTGTTTACAATTTAGACATTTTTTACTCATAATTATTAGTGTTTGGTTTAAAATCTGTTAAAATATTAGTTCCATTATTTCCTTCTTCCACAATAAAAGTATAATCTAATTTTTCTTTCAATCCCCCTCATTTTTCCGGGGGAATCTTTTTAGGAAAAACAAGAATGCTGGCTATACCAACCAAGTGCAAAATTAAATAATTGTTTCCTTTTTTATCTATTTTATTTCTTATATATTTGATTTGTCCTTGAACTTCTCAGGTTTTTTTTAGCATATTTACTTATTAATATCGTCGTTGGAATTTTTTGTTGTATTTTTTCCTAATTCTTCAGCCTTTTTCAGATCTTCGCATTCTTTCAAACATAAATCGCAAGTCTTATCAGTGATAGGATTATAACCTTTACAACCGCCCAATAAATCTTTCAAACTGGTTCCTTGAACACCCCAACAACCAAAAGCCCGGTAAATATAAAATTCCTGTAATTTCTTTCTAGTCGTTATTTCTTTATCAAGGCTAAAATGTTTTCTAAATTTTTCAAATCATTTTCATTCCCATTTAGAAAAATCTTTTTCAACTTTACCGGTTTTAGGATATTCGTCATGATTAACAACCGAACATTTAATTTTTTCTTCGGGTTTAGTTAGAACAACTCCTAAATACTTACCTTCTTCATCAAAAACAAACTTTCAACCATCAATATTAATCGTTCATTCTTGCTCCTGAAATTCATAATCAATATCTACGCGATGGCGATGCTTATTGGGGCATTCATAAGTTCAGTAAGTAGATTTATAGTGTTTACCGGGATATTTTGGCATCTTTTTTTCTTTTATTTATTGGTTATTAATTTTCGCAGTTTTTTAATTTTTGTGATAGTCTTTTCATCTGCTCTTCTAACTTGAAATAGTCAATATTACTTGCTTGAGAATGAGATAATTGAGAATTATTCATTTTGTTGTCCTCCTTTATTAAATGTTTAGGCAGCGTTCCTCCTTTTTCAGAAGGTTTAAATTGAGGCTCTTGAATAAATTCTTCTTTCTTAGGTTTGAAATTATTTAACAATCGTTTTAACTCTTCACTTGTCTGTTCTTGGGTCTTATTAAAATTAAAGTTTCATCATTCTGCTTTAAGTTTTTCAAACTGATAATAAACCTCCTCTAAACTAGATGCTTTAAAACCACAATAAGCACAATTAAATTGAG